CCGGTACTAACATTGCTCCAGGACTATCCAGTGGATGAATATACAGAGGACTGCTCGCATCGATGACCGGTTGGTCATTTTTGGTCGCATCAGGTGTTGTTTCTTCGCTTTGCTTTATGGCCATTAGAAAGGATCTAATCGATGAAATTAACCAGTGTATCAACCGATTTTGTGAGTAGATAGATTGATTTCACTAAAGAACTCCAATTCGTGTGAAAGTTTCAGCATGAATCGAGGAATCGAAAAACCCTAGAACTCGGAAAAGAAAGAAGAGAATTTTGAGATACTGAAAGAGGAATTCCGGTACACTTTGAGTAGATACGTTCAACCGGGCTCTAATACCATATTGAGATCAGCTTGGGACTGAGAAAATCAAGCTCATGCAAGACCTCCAATGGAGGTTCTAGAGACTTCTGAGAAAACAGAGATAGAGAGAGACACAAAGAGTAAAAGATGGAACATGAAAATGATATTTAATTTTCTCATTATTGCTGTAAAATGTAAAGTGTGTGTATATGTACATGTACACGTATATATGACAGCTAAGGCAACTACTAACTACTGTGTATGACTGACTGTGTAACTAATTACTAACTACTAGTTGTACAGCTGTGCAATACAATACCAATACAAGTACATGTAATACAATAATTTAAGGTTATTCTCAATAGTCCGGTACACTAAACTCCCGCTATGCAATAGAAGAATAATAGCGGAATTTATTGATTAATCAATAAATGAAAACAAGAAGCCAAATAATGACTTAAAAGAAATTAGGCTATCGCTAAAAATAATTTATTAGATTACTTTTGGTTCCATGCATGTTTTTTTTTAAAAAAATTGAGTTGTTTTATTTTCGAAAATTATTTTGAGTTTTGTTTTCAAGTTCAATTAAGTACATTCTTTAAAAATAGACACCAATATTTAGTTTTAATATATATTTTTATTTTCTGAAGGTTTCTAAAAATATTATAAAAATAATTGTTTGAGAGAAAAATATGAACCTTTCTTTTTCTTCAAATAACATGTACTTTTTGTTGGAAACTAAATCAAGATTAATTAGTATTCCTAAGTTGTCTAGGATTTGGTACTTACTAGTTTATTTAATTTATGTCTAGTTAGGATTCACAATCAAAATCATGTAGGAATAAGCTTTCTAGATTCTAGTCAAATTTGATTTTGTAGTATTACAAAATAGGGGTGTTGCTACATATATTCTATAGTAGAGAGGTAGTTACGATGTAGAGACATTCAAGAGTTTATGAGTTGTGCAAAAGCCTCCTACCAAGTTCTCTCCCTAGTTTAATAAATTTCTTCTATATAACTTTTGCTGAATTTTTTGCTTGTGCCTAAATTATTCTTGGGGGTATTCAATCCTTCAAATTGGTATCAGAGCCTGTGCGAGATTCTGTCAGAGCCGGTAGGAGATCCAAAAAAATATGAATACTCTATTATCTACTTGTCCTGTTTTTGTGTTTGATGGCAAAAGTAATTTTGAAACTTGGTATTAACAGATGAATTTTTTTTTAAGGATATTGGATAATGGTCCACCATTGATGAAGGATTTAAGGAACTCCTAGGAGGCACAAAGTTGACTGGTGATGTAACTACACAATTGGAGAAGAAGAGGCATTTAGATTATAAGGCACGCTACTATCTCGCCATCAAGGTCGAATTGCATGTATCTAAAAATTATTTGCATGCAAAGTCATCAAAGGAGTCTTGGATAATTTTTGTGAAGTCATATCGAAGAGCTGCTGGCGTAAAGAAGGGGCATCTGCAAGATTATAAGAGTACATTTGAGTTGGCTTACATGAGACCAACATAGTCTGTCAAAGATTTCTTTACAAAAATTGAAGAAATAGATTGTCTAAGGACCAATGAAGAAGTATTGGAAGAAGCTAATATTGTTGAATAAATATTGCAGTCTCTAAGTTTAAAGTTAAGCAACAATAAAATTATTCTTGAGGCTACCAAAGATCTTAGCACTCTCAGACTTGATGATTTAGAAGGTGAATTGGCGACATATGAGAGATTACTGAATTAACAAAAAACTGAGACATTAGAGGAGGCCAAAGGGATTATCAACCAAACGAAAAAGAAGACACATCAAAGATGACGAAAAAAAATCAAGAAGGCCAAAATTCAGAAATAGTGGAGAAAAGAAAAGAAGGTACATGTAATTTTTGTTGTGATAGAGATTCCATTGAAAGCGAAGAGAAGTCATATAATATTCAAATTGATCTGCCAAAAATTTCTGCAATTGTTAAAAAGGACAATTTGGTTGCAAGGGATGCTAGTCCAAAAGAGGTTGGTAATTTACAGGAAAATTTGTTTGATGGTATCGAAGATGATCCGAGTAATGAAAGAAACAAGATGGTTCATCAAGAGAATGTTTCTAATGATCCACCCAAGTTTGAGGCAAAAATAGCTTGGGGTCCAGAACTACAACACATGATTATAGATATTGAAGATGAAATAAATTTTCTGTCATTGTTCGAGATTACATGTTTCAAGGAGCAAGACGAAATATTTATTAATGGCATTACTTTACAACCTATAGAATGGCCAATTGGAGTTGAATCTGTGTACGAGACCAACCACAAGGCAATTAGAGAAGTAGATGATTTCAAAGTAAAGGAAAATTATATTGATGATATTTTGAAGGGATTTACCATGAGTAAAGACAAATCATATATGAGCAATATTCAAGATAAATTGCAGTTGACTAAAGATGGCACTCGTGATTTTATTGATGCTAAATATTATAGGAAATTGGTGAAGAGTCTAAGGTACTTGACTTCTACAAGGCTTAATGTTACTCATGGCATGCTCAAGTTTGAAGATCTTGGTTTAAGGGATGTTGTTGGAAACTAAACCAAGATTAATTAGTATTCCTAAGTTGTCTAGGATTTGGTATTTACTAATTTATTTAATTTATGTCTAATTAGGATTCACAACCAAAATCATGTAGGAATAAGTTTTCTAGATTCTAGTCAAATTTAGTTTTGTAGTATTATAAATAGGGGTGCTGCTACATATTTTCTATAGTAGAGAGGTAGTTACGATGTAGAGAATTCAAGAGTTTATGAGTTGTGAAAAAGCCTCCTACCAAGTTCTCTCCCTAGTTTAATAAAAAAAAATTATATAGCTTTTACTAAATTTTTTGCTTGTGCATAAATTATTCTTTGGGGTATTTCAATCCTTTCACTTTTCTTACTGTCAACTGCTATGAATTGATGATTTATCATCTATCAGGACCTAGCACAATATTAAATTTCCGTTTCCATCCAAGAATGATTTTAGAGAATAAGTCAAAATTTTTAAAAATTGGTGATGTTTATTTTATTAACTTTCAATTGTGCAAACATTTAATAACATCTGAAAATTACTCATTACTCCTATCACAATTTAAAAAGGAAAAAATGGAGCTAGAAGGTTACCTATGGATTTGACTAAACCTAATGGTTTTCGTCTAAATTTCGCATTCATATTAAAAGTTTCATTAAATATGTATAAAAATTGAATTTAAAACTCAGTTACTAACACGCGATATTATTATCCTGGAATTTAGAATAAAAAAGAACCCTATGAGAGTCAACCACTACACCTGCCAAGAACAAAGTATTATGATAACAAATTCATTATTTCTATGATAATAATAATTTGACACATATTTTAGAAATGAGAGAATTTACCACGGATTAGTCTTTTTTCCTTTATTGCTAAGTGTGAAATGAGATAAAGTTAGGAGCATCTAACTTGGTTTTTGAAGTAGTTCAACCAAAAGATTATAAATCGTCATGTGTGAAAGTTTAAATTAATCCAATGACTTCCTTCTTCCTCGATTAAATATATAGAAAGGTCGACATAAGCATATTGTTATCAATTATTTTATCAATTACCTTCGTTTATTATTTTGCTTATTTTTGTAATCGATAGATTAGAAAAATACTAAAAGACAATCTGATATACAATTAACAAAGAAATCACATAAAAAAATATTACGGATAAAAAAAAATTGACATAAGCATAATATTGTTAACTGATACAGTTATTTTATAATCGACTGTCTCATTTAATTACGATTATTTTTATAACTAGAGTTTAAGATAACACAACATTGAAACACAATCATAATAGATAAGAGAATCACACCAAAAGGCATACTATAGAAAAGAGATATAGCTCATAATTAAACTTAACTTTGATTTATCTGAATCAGATATTCCTTACTCTCAAACCTTATCCGAGTTCAAAACAATAGAGATGCATATATATATATATATATATATTCTTGGCCCCCATCCAGAAAATAATGCTAATGTGAATATGCTATATTCGTTATTTTGTATTCATCAACAAGATGATGGGTTTCTTTTTTAAAAAAATTAATAGGAAAAGGGTTAAAATTGTCGTTGAACTATACAAAATAAAACACTTTCGCACCTTTGTTGTTTAATCATATAGAAATTCGTGTGAATATTTGGATTGATGATAAAGAAGAATTTGGGCACCTTTGAAACCTTATAGAAGAAAAGGTAAACTACCACACTGAAACCTTATGGACGAAAATTAATTATGAAATTTAAATGAAAATATAGACAGACGTGTATATTTAAGTTGTACAAGTGAGTGTATGTAGTATAAATAGTGATAGATATTTTTCCCTACTGTACAGTATTCAATTTTTTAGCTTTGTATCATTTTTATACTCTTTGTACAAAACTCATTTTACAAGTTCAGAAAATAAGAAAATAGAGAAAACTTCTAGAACTCTCTCGTCTATGGTTGCCTTCAACCGCCATTAGAGCTCACTCGAAGTGAGCTCATCTTCTTCACTTTTCAGCTATTTTGTCATGGTATCAGAGCTAGACTCTCGATCTTAAATTCAATCGGTTAATTTCTTCCTACTGTTCGAAGTGTATCCCTACGGAGTGTATCTGTACGAATTTCGAAAAAATTTCTCGATTTTCTTCTCAAATTAATCCTTGATAACTATGGCTATTGGTGAAAACACAACGAATTCCACAAATCCGGCCTTGGATTCAACAAATCCGCTTTACATGCACCCATCTGAGAGTGCTGGTTCTATGCTTGTACCAGGATTGTTCGACGGATCCGGCTATAGATCGTGGAGAAGAGGAGTACTGAGAGCTCTCTCAGTGAAGAATAAGGTAGGATTCATAAACGGAAAGTGCACAAAGCCAAATCCTCAGGATCCTAGCTATGATCAGTGGGAACGCTGCGATGACATGGTCACATCGTGGATCCTGAACTCTATCTCAAAGGGCTTGGCAGATAGTCTACAATATGTTAACAATGCTCAAGAGTTATGGAAAGAGCTTGAGGACAGATATGATCAAACAAACGGGGCAAAATTATATCAGTTGCAGAGGGAGATAAATGATTTGAGCCAAGGAACCCTAGATATCACTGGGTACTACACTAAAATGAAGAAACTTTGGGAAGAACTAAACATGTTGAATGCACACACTCAATGCAGATGTAATTGCACATGTGGTGCTAAGGCGAGTATGCAGAAATCTGAGCAAGACAGAAGGTTGATTCAATTTTAATGGGACTTAACGAAGTCTACACTGTAGTAAGGGGAAGCATCTTAATGATGAATCCATTACCCTCACTCGCACAAGCTTTTTCAATTCTTATCCAAGAGGAGAAACAAAGAGAGGTCAAGCCAAACAACCAGCTTGTGATTGAGTCTACTGCTTTGAGTGCTAACATATCAGGAGGAAATCACTTCAAGACAAACTTTGGTCAACAGACAAATGTTGCAGACTACACAGGATATATGAACCACAATCAACAGGGAAACAGAACTGGATATAGCAGTTACAGGGGAGGACAATTTGGGAATAGGCCACGACCTTTCTGTGACTATTGCAAGAAGCCAGGCCACACTAAGGAAAGATGCTACAAGTTGCATGGTTACCCTCAAGATTCAAGGTTTAATAAGGGAAAAAGGATTGCTGCTAATGTACATGGAGGTCAAGGAGAGAGTGTCATTAAAGGTGAAGATGGAAACAATGGATCTACACAAGAACAAGACAGAACTATGCAGAGTCTCACTAAGGAACAATACAATCAGCTGGTGAGCATCCTGGAGAACTTCCATGCTGGAAATGCAGGAAATGAAATGAAGGCAGGAGCTGTGAACTTTGCAGGTATCTCAGCTTGTTCAACTCACTTTGATTCTAGTTCTAGCTCACGTGAATATTCTAGGTCTGCTGCTGACTCTTGGATACTTGACTCTGGAGCATCAAACCATATGACCTATGACAAATCCATGTTAATCAATGTGAAAACCTTAGTTTACCCTTTCCTAGTTACCTTGCCCAATGATTACAAGGTGAATGTGACATTAATGGGAGATGTAGTGATGAGTCCTAAGTTCACTCTGAAAAGAGTTCTATTTGTTCCCAGTTTCAAATTTAACCTAATCTCAGTACATTGTTTGACTGTCCAGTTTGATTGTTTTATTATATTCACCAAGTTTGTATGCATCCTTCTGCAGGCCCCTTCACTGAAGAGGCCTCTGGCAATTGGTGAAAGTAAGGATGGTCTGTACCTTTACAAGTCAGATACTTGCAAGTCCAGCCCTTCAGACTCCTGCAAATCTAATTCCCTAGTCCTTGATAATTCTTCTAGTGCACCAAATAAAGGTGATGTAATCACTCAGTCTACTTCATCTAGTAAAATTGGGAGCAATAGTGCTAGTCCACATTCTGATTCTCATATTGCATCTAGTATACATAGTTCTTTTCCTCCTATTACATCTAGATCTCATACTTCCTCTTCTGAATGTAATAAAGTTGTTACCGATTCTCATGTGCAATAAAAAGGAAATATTAGTCCTACATGCAATGCATCTATGAATGATAAATACATGATTGATCTCTTGTGGCACAATAGATTGGGACATGTACCCTTTTCCAAAATGAGGGGGATTGAATCCATACCCTTCCAATTTACACCCAGACAGTCCTTCATTTGTCCAATATGCCCAATGGCTAGATAGAACAGGCTACCATTCCCAGAAAGAACCACAGTAACAACCAAGATCTTTGAAATCCTACATGTAGATTTGTGGGGGCCCTATCATGTACCAACTCATGACAGGAACAAGTATTTTATCACCCTAGTAGATGACTACAGCAAGTGCACTTGGACACACCTTCTTAGTTGTAAAAGTAATGCCCTGCAAGTAATCAAAGCTTTTTCTGCCATGGTGAAAAACCAATTCAACTGTTCCATTAAGACTATTAGAACAGATAATGGTCTTGAGTTCATAAATTCTGAAACTGCCTCTTTCTTACAATCCGAGGGAATTATACACCACAAAACATGTCCTTACACACCTCAACAAAATGGCATAGTTGAAAGAAAGCACAAATACCTTTTGGAAATAGCCAGGGCATTGCTGTATCAATCTAAACTCCCCATGCAATATTTGGGACAGTGTATTCTCACCTCAACATACCTAATCAACAGGCTTCCTTCTACCACTCTCAAAAATAAATGTCCACTGGAACTACTTTACAAAAGAAAACCTAAATACTCTCACCTCAAAAGCTTTGGATGCCTCTGTTTTCCTATAAACCTAAAACCTCACAAAGACAAATTTGAATCCAGATCCCTACCTCATGTATTTGTAGGATATCCCTTTGGGACAAAGGGCTACAAGGTACTCAATCTAGTCACAAAGAAAATTCATGTTTCAAGGGATGTTATGTTTCATGAAGGTATATTTCCTTTTGCTTTGCATTCTAGTTCTAACAGAGTTTTCCCTTCATTTCCACAAGTAAATGCAGAATAAGCACAAGAACCGTTTCCTCCTCATAGGGCTACTCTTATTCCTACTTCTCCTAGTACATCTCTCCCAAGGATGTCATCTGAACCTTCATCACCAAGGGCAATGGAGCCTGACCCTTATATGACTTCAAGTTCAGAAGAGTATTTTCCCCTGTCTGATAACAATGAAACCTTGCCTGACAACACCTCTAACTCAATAATGCAAAATCCTGATGAGATTTCAGGAAGACCATCCAGAACACTCAAAGTCCCCACTTACTTAAAGGATTATAACTATTCACTACCCAAGTTACAAACAAATCACCCTAACTCTCCCTCCAGTAGCAACCAAAGTACCACATCTTTTTCCTTCAATGCATCCACACCTAATGCCCAATGTGTGTCACTTAATACCTTGATTTCTGATAGTCAGCAACTGGTTAAGAGTATTTCTCATGAGACTGAACCTAGTTCATATGAGGAGGCAGCTGCTGATCCTGCTTGGTAGGCAGCAATGAATCAGGAGTTTGAGGCCCTTTATGCTAATCACACTTGGAGCCTTGTGCCCCTTCCAAAAGGAAAAAGGGCAATAGGTTGTAAGTGGGTATATAAAGTGAAACACAAGGCAGATGGGAGCATAGAGAGATTAAAGGCAAGGCTAGTAGTAAAGGGATACACTCAGGAGGCTGGGGTAGATTACAGAGAGACTTTTTCTCCTGTAGTTAAAATGACAACTGTTAGGGCTCTAATTTGGATAGCAGTAAAGAAGGTCTGGAACATCTTTCAGTTAGATGTAAATAATGCATTCCTACACGGAGACCTCCATGAAGAGGTATACATGGAAGTACCTCCAGGTCTTGCTGTAGAAAACTCAAATTTAGTGTGCAAATTGAATAAATCCTTGTATGGGTTAAAACAAGCAAGAAGACAATGGTATGAGAAGTTGACTGAAGCACTTTGTTCCAGGGGGTACACACACTCTTTATTAGACTATTCCTTGTTTCACAAAAAACATGAAGATTCAATGGTATTTGTGGCTGTTTATGTAGATGATGTCCTAGTGACAGGGACTGATTTGCAAGAAATAGAAGCACTAAAGGCCTACTTACATAAGACTTTCAGGATAAAGGACTTAGGAAGACTACACTACTTTCTAGGACTAGAAATTCTGTATAAAGGAGATGGAGTGTTGATATCACAAAGGAAGTTCACAATGGACTTGCTGTTAGAGTTTGATTGTATGAAGTATTCAGCCTTAACTTCTCCACTAGACTCCACAATCAAGTTAAGTGCAGATGAGGGACTCCTGTTACCTGATCCTTTACACTTCAGGAAACTAATAGGTAAACTGAATTATCTGACTAACACAAGACCTGATATATCTTATAGTGTGCAGCATTTGAGTCAGTTTATGCAGAATCCTAGGGAGCCACATTTAAAGGCTGCATACCATGTGCTGAGATACATCAAAGGTGATCCAAATCTAGGGATTTTCTTGTCCAAGAATGAAGACTATAGAATTCGAGCCTTTGTGACTCATATTGGGCAGCCTGCCCTGACTCAAGAAAGTCAGTTAGTGGTTATGTTGTCTTGCTGGGCGATGGACCTATCAGTTGGAAATCAAAGAAGCAACACACTGTCTCATTGTCCTCAGCAGAAGCAGAGTACAGGGCTGTCAGACAAGTCGTGGGAGAATTAGTATGGCTATTGAGGTTACTAGCAGAGTTGACAGTCCCCCTAAAATTCCCTGTGCCAGTTTTCTGTGATAGTCAAGCAGCACTGCATATGGCCAGGAACCCTGTGTTCCATGAGCGGACAAAGCATATAGAAGTGGATTGCCATTTTGTGAGAGATCAAGTACATGAAGGGCTCATCACACTACACCATATCTCCACAAGTGAACAGCTCGCTGACATATTCACTAAGCCTCTCACAGGGGTGAAACACTGCAATTTACTTAGCAAGTTGGCTGTGAGTTCCTCCCTTCCAACTTGGGGGGGGGGGGGGGGGTATTGACACACGTGTATATTTAAGTTGTACAAGTGAGTGTATGTAGTATAAATAGTGGTAGATATTTTTCCCTACTGTACAGTATCCAATTTTTTAGCTTTGTATCATTTTTATACTCTTTGTACAAAACTCATTTTACAAGTTCAGAAAATAAGAAAATAGAGAAAACTTCTAGAACTCTCTCGTCTATGGTTGCCTTCAACCGCCATTAGAGCTCACTCGAAGTGAGCTCATCTTCTTCACTTTTCAGCTATTTTGTCAGAAAATTTGGGAAGAAATGATTTTCATCTAATTAAGTCATTGCCTATTTAATTTATGGTTTAACATTGGCATGTCAACTACCTAGTACATCATATTAAAATTGCTAGTAAGGCCATAATCAGAATTGTATTTTCAATTCAATGAAGAAAAATGCAATACAAATAAGAGTTAGATCTTACAGTTTTTATAGAAATAAACAGAGGTTACGTGACAACATTTGTTATATGCACTGTAAAATAATACAAAAAAATAAATTCCGTTCTATTTTATATGTTTTGTAAATAAAAATAATGATATATTTTTATATTTATAAGTTCTTTAATTTAATGTTTTTACTTTTTTCATAATGAGGCTCTTAAAGGGAGTACATGATATTTTTAAGACCATAAAATTCTATAGAAATTATAAAATATTACACAACATGATTTTTGTGTATCAGTACTGTATGAAGCTATTTTTTTTAAAAAAATCTATTGCGTAGGAGATTAGCTGATTA